GGAGGTCCTGGCCAAAACCGCTGACACCCCTTTGGTCATTGTTAACTGCAAGGAAGGCTGGGAAATGTGATCGAACAGGCCAGCCGTGAGTTCTATCACACCTGTCGTTAGTCTAAAACTAAAAAGACAAGGTGAGAGGATGCAAGCATTTATTTGAAATAGAAAATAAATAAAAAAAGGAATTGCAATGCAAGGGGATAGATTCAGACAGGAACCCAAATTATGTCCTGATTATGAGGTAATAGCAAGGGGTTTTCATGAGAAAAGGTTGGGAAATGATTCCATGAATAGAAGAAAGGAATTACTATCAGTGCTGGGTTACTATTTAGCAATATACTTGGCTGGTGACTGATTCTAAGTATTTCCATAATCATCAGTATTGTGGTCAGGATGTCAGTTTCCCTGTTAGCTTTACAAATAGCTGTTTGTAAGACAATGTTGGTTTGGCCCAGTCCAAAGGTTATTTGGCTCAGTTCAAACATCTCAAAATTTCAAGGAATTAGACATGCAAGGCAGTTCCTCTGGGATGGCTGCTCTGGCTCTACTTGAAAATGGCTCCTCTTATGTTAACTTTTCACACTACGGAGAAATGGACCATAGATATTGGCCGACAGATGGTAGTCTCTGCCAGAGCCCACCTCCATGGACATCTTCATTAAAAGCCAGTTTGCTGTGCTGCGGGCTGTGACATGGAGCTCCGCAGTTCACACACATTGCGGAGGAACGCTTACCAGTGGCATGAGCATTGAGAAAAGTATTCACATCTTTTTTCTTAAGCACTTTAGCTTTTTTATTGTTGAAAGTATTACATATGTCTCCTTTTTCCCCTATTGACCTCTCCCCGCCTGTTCCTGCCCCCCAAAAGATTTTTTCAATATGTCCAATCTTTCTGACCTACCACTCCTACATCCAATATGAAATGATAAGCAGAAACAAGATAACCATGGAAAAATTCCCACTTGGGAAAAGAAAGAATAGGAAGCACACAGAAGTCACTAGTGCACAGAAATGATCAAATCTTGTTGGGCAGAAAATCATAAAACTTTACCATCGCAGTGAAATAAGTTGTCTAGTTCGCCCAATTTGCTCTCTGGAAATAACTCCAAAGTTCTCTATGGACCCAACTTTGCATTACAGGAAGCTCTTTCTCGTCTATTACCATAAGAGTTAAATCTGAAGTAGGTGTTAGAAAGTATACCCTACTTAGGAACTGGTTTGGGGTTGAACAATAAGAAGATTTTACAAGCTAGGCATGTCATTCCTTTGGCACGACAATTCCCTCAAAATCTTAGTAGGCTTCTGGTGTATTTTTAATAGTGTGTCCCATGTGCCTGTATCCACATCCAAAATTCTTCTCCAGCCATATTTCTTTAACCTGCTTTAGTTCTTAACCTCTGAGCTCAACCGTGGCCTCTTTTCTTCATTTTAATGAAGGTGACCTTGAGGCCACATGAAATAATAGGTTTGAGTAGGAAAGCCGCACCCTAATCTAGCCTTTGCCACAGACTTGCCTACCTTTGTTTTACAGAAAAATAATAGGTTTCAAGAAA